CTCCATACTGTCAGACGAATCATTTTGGTACAGAGACCATTGCACAGTTACGTCGCCCAGGGAACCTTTCGCTCTACGTACTGGAAATTCCAGTTTGGTGACTTGTCTGGAACGGGTAACTTCTACGGCTCCATTGTCGTTGTACACTAAAGAGAAATGAAAACATAAGATGCATACTGCCATTCAGCTTTGAAGATGAACGCATACTTTTGGAAAAATTAAGAACCGTGATATATTGCTATTTTGGTCAGAAGTCGAGTTAAAACTGTTGAGAAATGAATGTGCCCCGAAGCAAGCATCACCCACGTCAAAGAAGTACAAGCCTAGTGTTAAATTGGCTGGGCCAAAATAACAGTGAGTAGATGACACGGATGGTAGAAAATAAGCAGTCTACAAATTTCAATATGTGACTCTGATTTGTGCGTTATAGTTGCTACAGATTTTCTTTTCCGAAATGTAAGAAAGATAATTTGTTAAGTTATCAAGATCTAAATAACAACTTCTAGGCCAGTCTATTTTCATCACCACTTCTCTTGATAAAGTTTCCATACATAAACCAAGGTTAAATTATTGCTATATGGATTGTGGACTTTTTCTAGTCTTATGAGGGGGTTTAAAAATGGCCCAACCACACTTACTTGAGCTGTTTTTATCGAATAAAACCAGACCATTTTTTGCGTAGAATGACCAAAGGAACGAAAACTGAGTCAGATGACAGACTTTAACTGTCAACAGTTTAATCGACTTGTTCACGTAGCTCCAGGGCTCAGGGCACGTGAGTGCGGCATCAAACCTAAGCGGGAGGTAAAGAGCAAATAAGCAAACAATGAGTTGAAATTTCACTTGATAATAAGACTAAGGTAATGATGCTGATATATGTCTTGTTTAATCATCATGGGTATTTCATAGAGTAATAAATCACCCACGGCCATCGCCAACAGATTTAATTGATTAGAAACTCATTTATTAACCCAATGAATCGGTCTACAAAGAAGCAATTAAGGCATTGGATCCCTGAAGACTTTTAGGAGGTTGGCACCTGTTGAAACAGAATTTTATACGACTACTAAGAATTAAGAAAAAATCAGTTTCCAATATTAAAAAGTAGGGCCTAAAAATTCATCTCTGGCATCTAAAGATTTGAAGTTCAAGTTCATCACTGTAAGTCACATGCTCTCTCTTAGTAAAACAGCGATGCTTACCCAGCATCTCTTGTAAGATATAAATAACTTTTAACAACCTGCGGTCCCAAACTTACCAGGTTTCATTCTTGGGATCCCAAAGATACAACACGGGATCTATATCTTCCTTGGTGAGTTCATTATTGACGTGCTCATTGTTGGCTTTCACCAGGTTATCAACGTCGTAGAACATGGTAATTGTGATTGGCTCAGCAAACTTGAAGCCTTCTTTAACCGTGTTATTCTTCGGGTCTAATGCCTTGATGACAAAACTGTAATTTCCAAGCATGAATTGCTGTCCAATTAAAACAGGAACACTATAAGTGAGTTTGGTGCGGATGCAGCGTGCACAGTTTTGACACCTAGATCTCGCACGTACCACCTGTGCGAGACGAGCCTCCTTGTAAGGTCTCTTGGAAAAGTGAATGAAGAAACAGTACTGTTGCACTTTTTGGATATTGGGATTGTTTTTACACTATGTTTCATTTAAATTTTCCTGCCCTACTGCAAAGTACACGTCATTTCCTTTATTCTCAGAGTCTTTTGTTTCTCATAAGCTATGTAACTGTCCAAATTCGAGTTTAACCAACTCGGAGGACACTCATTTTGTGAAAAATAACCAACAAAAAGACAATCAAGCGAAGAAAAACTCGACAAACCTTTGTACGAAAAAAAAAACCGTACAAAAGAGAGACGGAACGTGGAAACGAACAAAAACAATTGTCACAATTTCAACTAGTCAAAATCATACCTTGGGCCTAGTGTACTTAGGGTTGCTAACAGGACCCTCCTCAGTCTGGTTCGTATCCATTATTTTCTCATCCAAACTGTACGATCTCAACTTCACCTGCTCCTCGACAGCACCTTCTGGTACAATCAATGTCCCGTATGTCTTTCCCACTCCACCGTCCTTGCGCGATCCATCTTCTTTAACATTCACCGTATCAAAGAAAAACTCGGCGGTGGAAGTGTTGTCAAAAATGTATTCCGACTTGCCGACTACAATCCCGTTTGAAGACAGTTTTTCTGATAATAGACCAGCTCCGTTTGTGGCTCGCACAGTGGCGTAGTATTTGTTTCCTACGTCAAGTGCGTTGTCTTTGAACTTAGCAAGCCATATCGTTGTGTTGGTAACTTCCTCGAATTCCTTGATATCTGTTGAACCAGGTGCAGTTCCCCACGCAACTTCATATGACGTCACGCCACTGTCAGGATCTCTCGCCGAGAAATAGGCAAAGATGATATCAACAAAGACCTATGATGGAATTAAGTTGAAATGTGGGACATTTTACGATGATAACTACACTAATAATAAGGATAAAAATAATGACACAAATGACGATGATGACAGAATAACAACAAATACTATGATAGTGATACGTTTGTTTATGTTATTAGAAATCTTTTAGCAAATGAAAATCAAAATGGCTTTCTGGCCTTTCAAACTTCTAAAAGAACTAATGTCCGAATAATTCGGTGAATTTGAGCAGTTTGCTGATATAGCGAGAGACAAATACAATATTTCATCTTAGAAAATATGTAACAGGTT